CAGCTATCAAAGTATTAAAGTCAGTCCAGTGATCAAAAGCCCACTTCGGCTACCCCAATTAACATGCCCAATTAAAATTAAACACCTCACCCTAACATGGTGCTTCCCTTTTTACCTTTATAAACTGCCATTTTCCTATGGGCTATTTCTGTCTCCTCTCTATGCCGAGGCATCTTTTCCTCTGGAACAAATGCCCCCGCCCCCTCTCCTTTGTTCCCGTCCCCTTCTTCCTCATCCTCTATCTCCTGTCTGTATCTCTTATTCCCTGGCCTCAGACCCTCTGGACAAATGGATTTCCTTTTTGCTGAGAACTTGGTCTTGGGGGTCCTGAGCCAATCTTTTTTCTTTCAATACCGGCATGGTTAGCTAATGGAGAACACTTGACCTTCTCCAAAGACACACATGCACAGCACATCTTTTAAAAGACTTTGATGTTTTAAATGATAGGAATGCATGTATGCAGGACGTATGTTCACAAGTGCAGATGACTGCAATATGGAAAAAGGCATCATATTCCCCTGGAGCTGGAGTTACCGGCAGTTGTTAGCCACCCCATGTGGGTGCTGGGACGCACACTGAGATCCTCTGAGAGAACATCTCCTAACCACTGGGCAATCTCTCCAGGCCCAGTACAGGAAATCTGAAAATACTTTTGTTTTATCTTTTCAACTAGATTGTAGTGAAATATACTCATGGTATAGACGTTTGTGACTTCTCCTTTTTATGAGATTTGTTCCATTGATGGAAATGTGTGCACATTTCCAGCTTTTGCCTGACCACTCCTTACTTAGGAATGATATAATAATGAAAGAATTCTCTCTCCACTTAGCAGGAAGCTCACCCTGGTAGCAACAGTGATTTTGCTTACATTTTCCATGAAGGGTCATTTCATGTTGAATATTGCTAGCCAAAGTAATTTGGAGTGTATACCGTCTTTGAAGAGGAATCTGGTGACACAACATTCTGAAAGATGTTCAAAACATTTAGACTTTCATCCAGCTGTATTGACACCACGTAACTTGTTCTAAACCTTGTTTCTTCCATTCCTCATTCTTGGCTGTGTATCTGCCAGAAGGATCTGCTGAGAGGGTTGGGCCCTTTGTCTCCAGTGTTTATATAGCAGTTTATATCCTAGCTGGAAGGAACCATGTGTTTCCCCAGTGGTAAATGGACTTCTTTTAGCTTTCATTCCTAAACATTTATTGTTAAGCATAGTGACATCTTTCAGAGCACTGGAGTAGGAGTCACAGAATTCCATAGCGCAGGCAGAACTGTAGACACAGGCCCTATAGGCTTAATATGGACTTACCAGAATTAGCAATACTTTAAAACTGTGGCCAACATAGCAAGGCATCGCCTATAGCAGGGAAGAAAAAGGAACTGTATTGTTAATGGCAAGTTTCACTGAAACAGGCTTGGTAATTTCAATTACTCTTTTGGCAGATTTCTTGGGAGAATTGATTTGTTTTTACAACAGCCACATTATGAAGTAAAACTACAGGACAAATGGAAATAAGCATTTCGATTGTTTAGAATGTGGGGCTTTAAGAGAAACACAGAAGTGGATTAATAGGGGTGAGTGTTTTTTAGAAGGGTTATCAATACCATGGACAAATGACAACAGCGTGACAGAGGTCCATGGTCCATGTATCAGAGGCAGACAACATGACAAGGGCTCCCAGGAAAATCACACTCTGAGTCAAGCTAGGGTCCCTTCCTATTACCTTTGAGGAAGAAGGGGGACTTTGCAGGGGGTGCCTGCAGACAGGCTCTGTTCCCCAGAAGAAGGCAGGGAAGAGGCAGGAAACAGGATGTGTGGCCACCAGTACTCATTTAGAAACTCCCTTCCCTGGTGGAGAAGTCTAAGGTGGTAGTAAATACAGGGCCTTCCCACTTCCAAGTGAGAGCCACCAGTATTTCCTGGATACCTTAGACAGATAAACCTGCAGAAATGAAGAAGTAAGATACCTACCAATTGTATGAGACCTGTGAATATTTGAAATTGTCACAAAGATATCTTTAAAATATTGTCTGGGGCCAGCAAGATGGCTGAATGAGGAAAGGCATCTCTGACCACACACAGACACACACACACAAATTTTCTTATCCACCCCTCCCTATCCCTACCTCCTTTCTCTCCTGTCTGTGAACATTATCACCACCAACATTCAGAGTCAACCAAATTTCCAGAGCTCATGACAGAGTCAGACCAGATGGCAGTAATGTTGTCTCCAAGTCACATGAGCCCGTTTACATGCTGGTCTTAACCCCTGTTCCCCCGCTGATCCTACGTTTGTGCTGCCTGCTGTATAATTCTATTAAAGGGGTCCTTTGGGGACTTATTTACACAGAAGTAGCTATTGTCTCATTACAAGGCACACAGCACCCCTCCAGAAACAATTATTGAACAGTCACTGTGAGTTTAAGAAACTGGTCACTTCCCTTGCCCATCCAGGCAGATGACCCAGCAGATGTTTTGAACCAACATTGATTGAGGCCTGTGATGGTTCATCGGTCTTTGCCACAGGCCACTCTGTAGTAAAAATAAGACTACAGAGAAGGTACACCTGTCAGAGTCTCTGTAGAGACTCTCAGCTAGGTTACCACCATCTTGCCCGGATGAGATTTTTAGGAAAAATTGTGATACAGATGAATGCCATTTATTCTCCAGGAGCTACATGTTGCCCTACTCAGGACTGGCTATAGCAAATAGTCACTAGTTTAATAAAGTCGAATAATAAGTATACATGTTCTCTGCTTCCCACTGTGCCTTTCATTTCTCTATATCCCAGAACCCAGAGTCTTACCCAGATTTAGGTAATCAGAGGAAAAGATGAGAATTGGTTATCTTGTATTATCATAGAGTGAAGTTTTCCATAAGGAGAGGAAATATTGCAGACACTAAAGGGATAAATGGTGGGGGCTGAAGAGATGGCTTAGAGGTTAAAAGCACTTAATACTCTTGCAGGGGCAACCAACATGGTGGCTAACAACTGTCTATAATTTGACTTCCCAGGGATCTCACACCCTCTTCTGGTTTTCATAGGTACTACAGGCATTCGGTACACAGTAAAAACATGTGGGCAAACACACATTCACATTTTAAAGGGGGGGGGGAGTAAAACTGGAAATAGTTTAGGGACTGAGGAGGTGCTGGGGTGGGATGGTGAAGAACCTCAATGGAGAGAATCTGTCAAGTCTCCCACAGAGCAAAAGTCAATTTGCTGGGTGTATACAGCATTGAGAAAATGTAGTACTTGCTGTGACAATGGACAGACTTTCTCCTTCTAAGAATAACCTGCTGGGCTTAAACTACATGACATTGTTACTGAAACCATGTTCTCACGGCTCAGTGTCAAGGACAAGGGGAAATGACTTGAAAAGCCAACAAACCGAAGAAAATAGGAATCTGTCGCCAGCAAAGGCCGTCTGCACTCAACCGACATCTTAAGCTTCTTTTATCCCTAGGTAAGGAAGAGAAGAGAGAGATGAGCCTTAAGATTCAGAAGGAATAAGAGACTGGAGACCCTAGATATGACACTCTAGTGGTCCAGAACAGAACACTGACGACTGTTGTTGGCCATCTGGGGATGGTGCCCTTCGCAAATCTTAAATATTTTATTTTCTCCAACCTTAGTGTCTTCAACTTTGAAGGGGAGATGAGGCAAAATTAGGAGTGATAAACCTGATATTAGTTTCAGGTAAGCACTCTTTAAATTAATAACTTGTCTATGTACACAGCTAGCCGAAATCTGTCCCAAAGGTGAAGCATCGATTGTTTAATGGAATGGCTTTGAGAATTAGTAATCTTTGAAGTGAATGACGAAAAGGCAAACTGAGTGTTTATATTTTCCCTTGGTTATTGTGATGGTTAGTGTTAATTACTAACTTGACAAGATCTTACCCAATTCAGTTAATTGACAGAAGAAGCCCCACTGTAACTGTGGGTGACGTCATTCCTTGGGAAGGATCCTGGACTGTCGTAGATGAAGAAAGGGGGGCTGAGTCTTTGCACTGCATTTGTCCTTGCTTCCTGACTGTGGATGCTGATATGGAATACAATGTGGTGGAGGAGGAGGTGTCTACCGCAGAAATTGTGTCATGCAACAGATCTAGTATAAAGGGGCTTTCTTGGGGGAAGGGAGGGGAGTGAGGGCCTGGAGAAGGGGTAGAGACAGAGGAGTGGGCATGTAGACAGATGGAAGCACAGCCATGAAGAAGGGAATCGGACAGAGAAGGACAGAAAAGAGGAGACAGACCAGCAAGAGAACTGGTGTGGCAGGCAGTCCTCTTATATGCAGCCCTCACCTGCCAGAGGCGGGTAATGGTGGCAGGTGATGACTGAGCAGGTGCTAGGTCCCTGTGAGGAGCCCAGTGGAATCGCCCGTAAGCTAACAGATGCAGATGTGTACCTGGCTGTCTTGACCCTTCCGTCTTGATGGACTGTATCCTTGACTGTGAACCACAATGAACCATTTCTCCCTTGGGTTGCTTTATCACAACAACAACAAAATACTTGACTGAAGCAATTTGAGGAAGGAAAGGTTCAGTTGCCATGGTTATTCTAAATCTAGCCAAGTTGACAAAGTCTTCACCTTTGTTTGCAACTCTATGGCCACTAAATCCTTTGAATCTTGTGAATGGCAAGTGTCATTTATACGCTAATGAGAGTTCTAGCAACCCATAAAGGGCTTCATAATGGGGGCTGATTATTAGAAAGAAGGTGTAATTAAAACACTGGATTTGGCCCTGTGGTCCTCCAGGGAATGGAGGCTGAAGGCCCAGGTGATTACCAATGGCAACATCGATCACAACTATACAGTGAAATTCCATACAAATTCAAAAGGACAGGCTTAGATGCTTCCAGATCCAAATGGACTCTAGACCTGCCTTTCTAAGCCTGCTGAGAGCAAGGATTACACACATGTACCTTGGCTTCTGAAATATTTGTTCTCAGTGTCCAGTCGAACATTCAATAAAGCCAACTGCTGTTAGACATTTTATTTTTCGGTAGTGATAGGTGATTTCTCTGCCGCCTGTGAAATGAGCCAATTCAAGCCAGATTAGATTATATTAAATGCAGCTTTATTGGGAAGCTGATTTCAGGTGAGTTCACCGGCCCCAAGTACAGACAAGTCACCACAGGGAGGTGGGGAGGGGGGAAAGAAAGAGAGAAAGGGTGGCCACATGGGGAGAGGAGAGGAGAAAGCAGAGAGCCTAAAATGTCTGGATTATATAGGGAGGAGCCTCTGGAGGGAGGAAGGGCAGCCCAGCCCCTGGGCTGGAAAGTTCAGGGTTGGGGGCAGGGTATGCCAGGTAGGAACTGAGGGATGCTGGGAGAAGCTAGAGGCCAGGTCTGCATATGCACCTCAGTCCCTAGTTCCCCAAACCCTCATACCAAACCTAAGTTTCTGATTGCTGTTTAAGTTTCCATATTGGCTCCAGACCTGTTTATATTTTCTTTTCTTTTATGAGTTGGTTTTGGTTGAGTTTGTAGAGATTTATCCATTTCATCTAAGTCAACTAATATGGGGGAATAGGGAATTACTCTTAGAATCATTTTATTGATCCTCTTCCACAAAGCCCCCTGCCCCCTCCTTTAATTTCTTAGTCTTTTTCTTTCCTTAGGCTAGTTAAAACTTTGCTGATTTCTTCCTCAAAGAGCTAACATTTCCCCCTCCTGTGCCAATTTAATTTCTCCCTGCTCTAATTTTTATCTCCTACCTTCTGCTATCTTCAGGTCTAATTTTTACTCTCTTTAGTTTCTTAGAGTACAATGTCTGATGATTTGAAATCTCAACTTCAGCTTCAAGTATAAAATGTCCCCCTGGCACTGATTTTATTGCATCTGTGGGGAGCGGGGCATTGTTTTGTTTTCATTTGTCTCAAGACTTCCATTTTCACTGTGATTTCTCCCAGCTTTGATTCATAAGAATGTGTTGTTTAATTCCAGGTACCCTTACACTGCTAGTCTCCAGCTTCGTCTCCTTATGATCAGGAAATAGACTCTCTATGATTTAATCCTTTTTACAGTTATTAAAATGTGTGTAGCCTACCTAACATATGTTCTGTTCTCAACTGTTCCATATCTGCTTGAGAAAGATGAATATCGGCATTTATGAGTGTTTGGAGCCTGTTTAAGCATGATTGGTCTGGTTCATTATTCAGATCCCTAATGGATCCTCTGTCTGGTGGTTCTACCCACTATTAAAAGTAGGCTATTGAAATTTCCTGCTGTTATCCTAGGATGTCTATTGATTCAACTCTCTCGAAGTTTGCCCCAGACTTAGGAGTGCTAAGGTTCAGAGCATGCCGTTGTAGGAATATAGAATAGCCCCTGTGGACTCATGTGTTTGAACACTTGCTCCTGGCTTGTCGCAGTTCTGGAGGGTGGTAGAACCTTTAAGAGGTGGAGATTTAATTTCCACCTGTGCCGATTTAATTTCTCCCGGCTCTAATTTTCATGATGGAGGTGAGTCACTGGGGTGGAGCCTTGAGGTTTCAGAACCTGGTCCCACTTCCTGCACATTTGCTTTACGTATTGGGCATTTCCCCATGAGTATCATATCTGCTGCTTCTTGGGGTCTTCATATACTATCCTACTATACACACAATCCCTTGCCTTAGGTACACATGAATTGCCACTAGCGTTATGCCACCGGCCACTTCCATGACCTCTCCACCCTGAAGATACTCACACTTCCCAGTCATTCCTTCAGCGCCCACAGTCAAGAGGGACAAGCCAAACTTCCAGGTCTTCATATACAAACTAGAACCTTATACAAGTTCTAGTATCTTCTTTCCCAAGGTGGGGTGGGGTGGGGTGGGGTGAGGAGAGCCAGGAATTAGGCAGGTTTTTTCCTAGCCTCTGGTGACTGTGGACAGGAAAAGTCAAACCATGCTAGGCAGTTTCCTGCCCTTCCGGGTGTGGCATTTTCTTGGTGGCTGCATTAGGTTGATTCCTGTGGTTCTCAGAAAGCTATTTTATTTACTTTTAATTGTGTGTGTGTGTGTGTGTGTGTGTGTGAATCTGTGAAGGTACGTGTGAGGTTCAGGTGCCTCAGGAGGCCAGAAGAGGGCACCCAGTCCACTGGAGTTTTGGGCTGTTGAGCCATGGTGCAGGTGGAGGTCCAGGTGCAGGTGGAGGAGCAAGTGCAGGTGCAGGTGCAGGTGCAGGTGCAGGTGCAGGTGCAGGTGCAGGTGCAGGTGCAGGTGCAGGTGCAGGGAACTTGACTTGGTCTCTCTGCAAGAATAAGTGATCTTAAGCACAGAACCATCACCTCAAACCCACGGTTTCCATGGAACTCTGGCAAACACACGCATCCTAGTCTGTCATTTCATTATTCCACTGCCTGGGTTCTTCAGTGTCATTTCTACCCCATCTCTTCCTGATTCTCTTTTGACATCAACAGCCTGTACTCACAACTCTTTGGAGGGCTAGCCCCAGGCTTAGAGCCACCTCACCTGCACAGACAGACAGACAGACAGAAGTGCTTCTAGTACCTACCTGGGACAGTGGTGAAATCAAATTTTACTCCAGAGTTTCCCCATGGGGTAGGCTACTGTAACCCTCTGCAGGATCTTGTCTGAAGCACACTGAGTAGCTTTCATTCTTGATCCTGTTTCCGGGACTCTTTTCTTATTTCTCCTGATGACGCTTCATCATAGCCTCAGTTGCTTGCCCTGTTGCTGTAGTAAACGCTCTGTAAAAGCAACCCAAGGAAGGGAAGGTTGATTTTGGACTGTTGGAGGTTACAGAGCACCACGGCGGGAAGTCACAGCAGCAGGAGCTTGAGTACCAGATCACACCGCGTACATATTGAGGAAGAAAATGGCAACCAATATTTGTGCTCAGCTCACTATTTTTTTAAAAAATACAATCCAGGCACTCAGCTCAGAGAATGGTGCCACCACCCGTAGGAGTCAGGTCTTCCCTCCTCAATGAACCTAAGTGTAGCACGATAATCTCCTGCTACTGCTACATTGTATATGCAGTGGAGCTCTGTGATTGGACAGTATGAAAGGTAGGCGGAGTGAGGAGTTGGGAGGAGAGGAGAGGACAGGGAGGAGAGAAGGAGAAAGAGAGAGAGAGAGAGAGCAGCCATGGAGAACCATGGATGGGTCAAAAGCTGTCCTGGGTAACAACTTCTATTAAAAGGTTAGATATTGGGTAACAATGCTAATTGTGTGGGCATCTTGTTAATTGTGCATTTTTAAATATACAAAGGCTTTAGATAATCATTAAGCTTTAAGAGTCTTCTTTCTACTGGGTGTGGGGTACCTCGAGGATGGTGGGTATTATCAGGGACTCAGCCAAGCTTCTCGGGGGCTGCGTGGTGAATTGGCAGAGCCAGCTGTCACTCTGGCGTCTTGTGGGTGCCAGGGCCGGTTTTCCTAGATAGCCAGAGCCGCAGTTCAGAGCCAGAGCAGCTGGGAAATGGCGGCTGCCTGGGAACAAGCCAGACCAAGCACCATTTTCTAAATAGCACCCATTTCAAGTGGCACTAACTTGTTTTTTTAATACAATCTAGGCACCCAGCTCAGGGAATGGTGCCACCCATAGAGGTGAGGTCTTTCCACCTCAATGAAGCTAAGCAAGATAATCCCTCTAGAGGAAGTGGGCACACTTAACCAAGAAGTTATTTGAAGTTGATACCTTCTGGGAAAGTGGGAATCAGTTTTCTCCAATGATATGTCACTGAATGTATCAAGCACACTCCAGGGGTAGTCCTTCTGCCAAGGAGTAGTTAGCCAACAGAATGAACCCCATGTTTGTTAGTTATTTGTTTAGGCATCTCTCTCCATCTCTGTCTCTATCTCTGTCTGTCTGTCTGTCTGTCTCTCTGTCTCTCTGTCTTTCTCCCTCCCTGTTTCTGTCTGTCTCCATCTGTCTGTGCCTCTGCCTTTCTCTGTCTCTGTTTCTCTGTTTCTCTCCCACATACACACACATACACACACACACACACACACACACACACACACACACACACACATTCACACACCATGGTTAGGTCCACAATATATATTACACTTCCCCGGTACAAACAGTAGCTGGTAGCCTCTCAGGACTGAAAACAAACAGCGTGTTCTTGTACTTGAAACATCTCATATTATAGAAGGATGCTGTTCTTTAAACACATCAGAGTGGTTCATGACATTGGGTAGCAGAGAATAATGCAGAAGGCAGCAAAGAATAAAATTCCCTTAGTGACTGATCAATCAGAACACTCAAGGGGTATTTTAATTGGATTTAGCTAAAGAGAATTTAATCAGGAAAGGGGTCTCTTAAAGGAGGTGGGACAAGATTCAGTGGTCAGGGAGCAGCAACCAGAGAGGCTGTTACCCAGCTAGGACCTGGAGAACTATAGAGAGCGCAAAAGATAGCCATGAGAGAGGCCACTCAGCAGACGCTTGAGCTCTTGGTGGAAACCACCACCACTGCCAAGGTGTGTTGTTGGGACAGAGGGAGGACTAAACATCCTCTTCTGCCTTTGTCCTACCCATGACCCTCCTGGCAGTACCTCCCATGCAAGGTCTGCAAAATTTCCAAAGATATAGAGGACAATCTGTATGAGCGAGATTCTCTCCCCATCCACAAGAGTTTTGCTGATGGCACAGAAAGCCACTTACCCAAGTCATAGTCAACCTGAAGCACTCACCTCACAAACCGAGAGGTGATGCCCTGGAGGCCCAGCCATATGGCGGCACACATAAGGAGCCACAACGGTGAGAGGCTGCTGTGATTCTGAGCTCTCCACCACACTGGCAGAATCTCTGCTGGACCAGTGTTAAAGTTGGGTGCCTAAATGCTTCCTCCCCAACCTTCCACAGGTTCTGACTTTAACAGGCATCTTGCGTTGTGACCTATCACAGTGATGGCTTGCAGGGAAGCCAAGCTATGGTAGTGTATGTGTGTGGGGGTGGGGTGGGGGGGACAGGTGACAGAACCTACAAGCCAGCCTCCTCTGTATGCCTGAGGAGAAATGAGTATGCACAGAATAGCCGAGGAGTGGGCTGAGGAAGAAGCTTAGCTTCTTAACACTTAGCCCTCCTGTGCTCTCCACCAAAGAATTTGGGAACATCTATATGAATATGGGGGAGCTATAATAAGGTATATTTGTCCATCACATACCCAACCTGACAGGTGAGGATTCTGTCTGCACGTGGTTTTCATTGTACTAATAGTAGCCTGTGTGTGTGCTGGCCTTGGGTGAGAGTCCCCAGCCTCCTGGGCACTGTCAAGGAAAGCTTTGCACTAACACTAAATGATGCAGTTCTAAGTGAGGTGATTAAATAGTTCAGTGGAAGGAGCATCCTCTCAGGGAGGAGAGCAACAGGAGGCTTTTGGGGACTTGCCTGAGTGAGTCACAGCCGGGGTCTAGGGAAAGAAGTTGGCTGGTGGCCCAAGGAGTAACTGAAGAGAAGAGTGGCCTGGTCAGCTTGGGGAAACAGTCCCTACACACACCAAATGGGATGTGTTTACTGGGCTTTGGGGAATCTCCGAATACCTCAGACCAGGGAGTTTTGAATTGATGCCGGTAAACTGTATGGACAGTTATCAGCAGAGTACTGGGTATTCTCTGGCCCGCATATGTCATTCCACACTTTTAGATTTGCCATCATTTAAAGTCTATGACTATAACTCATATGTCTGTCAAGATGCCCACCCTGACATGAAGAAAGGCTGGGAGAGAGTTGGGAAAGGTCGGTGTTAGAGACCAGTAAGAAGTGGAGAGTCTGCAGGGTGGGACACAGCTGTACCCTCAACTCCCCAAGCCTCGACCAGTCCAGCAGAGTATGGAGGCAAATGAAAATGTTCCTAAACCCTGCCCATCTCTGTCACTAAGCATAGACTGCTCCAGGTAGGTGCAGTGTCAATGTCCTTCTGGCTGGGCACTTGACTCTTATGTCCCTGTGGTTCTAAAGATCTGCAAGCTGGGGCCATCAGTTAGAGAGAACCCGAGAATTCCCAACTAGGGAACGTAGGGGGAGGTAGTTGCCTCCATAAGAGATAACGGGCTCCTGTGGGTAGATCATAGAACCCATGATCAGCAGGAAACAGCGTACTGAAGATGAGTGGCTGATTCTGAGCTCGTAACCCTCTCCTACCTTCTTTCCTACAACAACCAAACCTGGAGACTGAGAGGCGAGGGCAGAGGCCCTTGGAGTCATCCTTGGGCATCCTCCTTGGGTGGTGGTCTGGGGATTACAGGCCTGTACATGCATTTCAGAACTAGATAATTAGATGAACACGAACCATTACTTGGGAGTTACCAAAACTACAGTGTAATGCTTTTCTTATAACCCTCCCTTTCTGATCCTGTGAATGGTTGGCTGAGCATTTCCCCTCCAATAAAGAGGGAGCATGGTTACTATGTTGCCACCTCCATCCTCAGGATTTCGAGGGGCATTGCCTTCATGCGCCACACAGGCCCGACATGCAGTATCTGCTTTTTTTATCAGGGTGTCAAGAGCAGGAGAGCTATACTCACACAGCCATTTGGTTGGTTCAGAAGCTACGGAGTGACCACCCTGAGCTCGGGAACAGCTGCCATGTCTTCCCTTAAGCCAGGCCCAGTGGCTCTTCTCAGAACTCTCAGCTTCTCCAGCACCATGTCTGCCTGCGTGCTGCCAAGACTCCCCCCATGATGATAAAGGACTACTGAGCTGTGGGCCACCCCCAATTAAATGCTTCCCTTTATCAGAGTGGACATGGTTATGACGTCTCTTCTCAGCAATGGAAACCCCCAAGCTGTCAGCTACGCCAGCATAGCTGACTGAGTTCCTTGGATCAGCGGAGGGCTGAGGGTGAGAGAAAGAAAGACAAGGAGTCATCTGGTAAAGAACCGAATGCTATATTTTCAACTGCATAGCTCCCTTTTATATGCCCCACAAAACAGGAACACAAACAGGAACAGGAATAAAAACAGGAACAAGGAGATACACCTGGCAGCCTACCACTCAAGCTTGGATTTCTCCTTGAGCAGTCTTCTCATGGAAATGCATAGAGACGGGGGGATCCGGCACAACAGCACAGGTGCAGAGGATGGTGACTCACACCAAGCCACTGTGTAGTGGATGCTGACACTCAGGCTGGTCCTCCCTCCCATGGGTACCTGTCAACAGAGTGTCCCCAGTCCCCTGGACTCTATGAAAGGACAGCACAGTGGCCAGGGACTGTGGCTGAGACCAGCACACCTCAGAAGCAGCTGCCCCTGATTTAGGGTAAATGGGGCCCCCAAAGGAAATGAGGTTAACTCAGTCAAACTTACATCAAAGACTGACTTGCTGAGGAACTCATTCCAAAGCCTGAGAGAAGGATCCCCAGCTGTCCTACTATGCGGCATGTGACAACACTCTGAACTGACTGGGTAGTAAAGGCATTCGTACAGACCTGGAAGCTAGGAAGTTAAAGACAAGAGCTGACATACTCGGTGCTTGGTGAGAAGAGCCCATGTTTCTGGTGTATCGATATCAACACTTTCTGTGTCCTAAGAGAGAGGCCAAACAAGTTCTTGAGGCATTTCAAAAGGGCATGAGTCCCTTCAGAAGAACTCCCTTCTCAAGCCATGACATTTCCCAAGGGCTCTGTGTCTTCACTCCCTCAACTTGGACTGCAAGGTTAGCGCAGGACTCCAGAGTTCAGTTTCCAGCACACACACACACACACATATACACACAGACACACATTTACATACACACAATACATACACACACATATACACACACATGCACACACATACACAGACACACACAGACACACACACAGACACACAGACACACACAGACACATACACAGACACACACACAGACACACACACAGACACACATAGAGACATACACAGACACACACACACAGACACACACATACAGACACACACACATACACACATACAGACACACACATACATACACACAGATACACACAGAGACATACACACACATACACATACATACACACACACAGAGACACACACAGACACATACACAGACACACACATAGGCACACACACACAGACATACACACAGAGACACACACACAGAGTCTGAACTATAGAGTGGCTGCCCTGTGAGTAGAAGGACCTTCCTCCACCAGAAGCCTTGGGCAGCAGCTTGTCTTACACAACATTGAACAGCCAGGAGTTGGGTGCCGTTTGCTGTAGTCGTCGCCTTAAACCTTAAGTGACTCCGCCTAATCTTGGTCTTTAGACTTCCTGGGCTCTGAGCTGACTCCGTTTTAACCCCAAACTCTGCAAACAATTTTGTTGTTTTGATGTCTTTCCTCTTCAAACCTCGTGACCTCTCACAAGCCTGGTTACAGATTTGCATTAGAAGTGGGATAGATAACAAGCACGGGGGAAGTATTTCGGCTTCCTTCTTCAGATCTAAAGGGGAAGAAACACAAATTGTAGGCCAGCAAATATATTACAAATTGAGATTCTGTGTGTGGCCGTGACCACACTAGACCCATTCTTGAACCTGTGCAAATTAAATCGCATTAAATGGACCAGGAAAGAACTCTCTGCTTAACTCATACTAGAGGACGTCTCGTGCTGGAGGTTTTCTAATAAGATGGCTGGATTTGTATGTGCTACATTCAAAGTGACTGGTGGGAACCATTTTCCAATTACTTCCTATAGAATCAGGGCATAAGCCGCAGTTAAAAAGACAAGATGTTAATTCTTTGTCTCCTTATTCTAAAGGAAAAAGAAACTTACCAGTCCCAGGAAGGTAGAGGGGTTATTCTAGAATCTTAAGGTGAGTCTAGCACCTCTGTGCCTTGTGTAGTTCGCTTGTGGGGGCTGCTGCATGGTCTCCAGAGTTGTGTCTCTATCCGTGGACAGTTGGAGGGATGATATGCTGGATTCCTTCTATCTTTAATATGTAGTTTCTCATGAGCAGGCATTGCCTGTTGGGGAGAGTGGAGAGAAACTAAAGTAATAGAACATAAGACATAGAAATTATTATCAAAATTCCTGGTCTACTGCAGCCTGAAGGTGCCCAATTCTGAGTCTACTTTATTCCTAACACCCTGATTCTGTTATCGCTGTCCATAGGTGGGGGACTAAGCCTCTTGCTTCCAAGCCACTGGATCCATCAGCTGCTCCTGTCTCAACAGAAGTAAAGCTCACTCTGTAGCAAGGCCGTGGTTTCTTCTAGGTGACGGTGAGGCTGCTGTTCAAGAAGAGCCTAGGATGAGCTCTGTCTGGCACTCAGCTAGCCTGGCCTGCCTGTGTTGTTGTCATGTGATGGAGACAGGTTCTCTCCATTCCCCCTCCCTTTCAAAGACATGCTGCAATAAACAGAGATGTCTATATGGTCCCAAGGTGAGTCTTCGACATCCAGACCCTCAAAGGGCCCGAGTGAGGGGGAGGAGGAGGGAAAGCTCCACGGAATTTCCCGAGGGTGAACAAAACTTATAGAACAGAGGTCTGGGAAACTGATGTGACTCTAAGATGCCTCAAGGAAGGCAGATCTGTCTCATCCATCTTCAGTCCCTGGTGACAAGATGTTTTGATAAATGTGGCACATGTTTGTTGTCAGAGAATGCATGTTTGAAAGAGGGAAGGGGCCCCCAAGCATTGTCTGAGATGCTGAAGGCCAGTCTGAGCCTGGGAAGCTGGTCCTTATGAATGTCAGGGTCCTTGGAGGGAAAAGTAATTACAGTCCTGACATTTGGAACGTGAGGCAGAGCTCCTACAAGCACCTGGCCCAGGGAATTATTTTAGAAGCTCCCAAGCGGCGTGGGCAGCCTGGCTTTATCAAGCATTTTAATTTCCATGTTTCTGCTCCTTTTCCTCCCCACATCCCAGCTATAAGGTGTCTACTGTGTCGTTTTCTTTGGCTCTCACCTGAGACAGTGGGCTGCATTCAGTCTAACGTAAAAACATGGGGGACCCGAGTAGAGAAGACACACTCTGAATTTAGATAGCACCATTTACAGTGATTTGAATGAGAAATATCCCCCATAGGCTCAGGAATTTGAACACTTGGTCTCCAGTTTGGTCCAAACTTGCAGGAGGATAAATGTCCTTGAGGGCAGACTTTGAGGGTTCATACCCTCACCCCACTTCTAATTGGTCCTTTCTACATTCTGTTTGGGCCTGAAGATATGACAACTCAGCTTCCTTCTCAAACAGCCTTCTGTGTGCCCTCTGCTCTATAATCAGCTCAGCGTAAACTGCATTTGGAAATCATGGGTCAAGATCATGATGAATCCTGAAGGCTTGAACCACGAAAGCACTTTCAATATCAAATGGTCTTCTTTAGGGACCAGAGGAAAATCACACTAAGGAGTGCAAAACCCAAGCCATTCCCTCACTTTAAAGAAAAATATTCACTTTTAATTGTGTGTGAGTATGTGCATGTGTGTATGTGTGTGGATGATTGTGTGTGTGAGTGAATGTAAGTATGCGTGTGTGATTGTGTGTGTGAGTAACTGCATGTGTGTGTGTGTGTATGTGTGTGTGTAGGTGAGTGGGAGTGTGTCCATGACTGCATTTGTGTGAGTGAGTGTGTATGGGTGAGCATATGTGAGTGTGTGTGAGTGTGCATGAGAGAGTGTATGAGAGAGTATATATGTGTGTATGTGTGTATGTATGAGTGTGAGTGAGTGTGTGAGTGACTATGAGTATACATATATACATACATATATATGTGTGTGTGTGAATAATGTATGTGAAATGTGTTGTGAGACTGTGTATTTGTGTGTGTGAGTGTGTGAGTTTGTGTGTGAATGAGTGAATATGAGTAGGTATGTGAGTGAGTTTGTATATGAGTGAGTGTGAGTGAGTGTATGTGAGTGTGTACAACTGTATGTGAAATGTGTTGCGAGAGTATATTGTGAGAGTGTGTATATTTGTGTGTGTGTGTGTGTGAGTTTGTGAGTCTGTATGAGTGTGTCAGTTTGTGTGAGTGAGTGTGTCTGGATTAGCATATGTGAGTAAGTGTGTGTGAGAGAGAGTGTATGAGAGAGTATGTATGTATGTATTATGTGTGTATGTGTGAGAGTATATATGAGTGTGAATGAGTGTGTGTGAGTGAATATGAGTATGTATACGAGTGAGTAAGTGTGAGTGAGTGTATATGAGTGTGTACAAGTAAATGTGTTATGAGAGCCTGCTATTTGAGTGTGTCCATGTGTGAATGAGTGTGAGTTTGTATGTGTAACTGAGTGTGTGTTTGTGTCTGTGAGCCTGTGAGTATGTGTGTGAATGAGTGAATATGAGTAGGTATATGAGTAAGTGAGTGTGAGTGTGTGTATGTGAGTGTGCATAAGTATATGTGTAATGTGTTGTGAAAGTGTGTGTGTGAGTGAGTGAGTGTGAGTTTGTGTGTGTGATACTGTGAGGAGTTCCTATCTGTGTAGGGGTATGTACAAGTACATGTGAGTACAGTCACCCACAGAGTCCAGAAGAAGTCATCAGGACTCCTGGAGCTGGTGCTGCAGGCAATTGTGAGGGGTTCTGGGAACTGAACTCAGATTTTCTGCCAGGACATTGTATGTTCTTATCCTCTGACCAACTATCCATCCCCTCTCCTGTCCCCATTTCTGTTTGTTTGTTTGTTTGTTTTTTGAGACAGGGTTTCTCTGTGTAGCTCTGGCTGTCCTGGAACTCACTCTGTAGACCAGGCTGGCCTTGCACTCAGAAATCGGCCTGTCTCTGCCTCCCAAGTGCTGGGATTAAAGGCGTGTGCCACCACCTCCCGGCCTCATTTCTTAAATACAGTCTCATACCCATGCTCATCTTCTTCTGCATTTGTCTCAATTCCAACTAGAATAGGGCCACATCGCAAACAGGGTGTCCGATTCCCCTGGAGTTACAGGCTGTTGTGAGCTTTCCAATGTGGTGAACACTAGAAACCAATCAACCTCCTATGGAGGAGGTTCTATGGATGAATATAACTTAAGGTAGAAATATTCCTCGGTGAGCTTGTTTATTAATCAGAAGACTCTAGACTTAGAGAGTTCTAGGCACAGAATATAGAAAGAAATGAGACATGATCTGGGCTGGGTATATGTGTGCTGAAGGCCAGGGGGTACTGTAGGGTTCTCCTATGGCTCCTAGAGGGTACTGTAGGGGTCTTCTATGGACCCAAGAAGGTACGGTAGGATCCCCCTATGGCCCCTAGCTCCTGGAGGGTAATCTCAGCCATGTTTATCCTATAAACTCTGTGTCTGGCACGTAGGGACCTACATGACAGAATGAAATCTTACAGCAAAGCTGACTTCCTGGCAGTTATGATGGATGAACACAGCCTTGAAGAAGCCCACGGTGAGTGTTTTAAGTTACCAAGTTCCTTGCTGTTCTTCCTCACTGCTCAAATCTACTGTGCCCATGGCCTCTGTCCTTGAATCTGTTTTTCTTGACCACATCAAAGAAGAGTGGAATTACATACAACTGTGATCAAGTCCACCAAAAGACCAATCTATTAAAAGCATCCGTTCATCAAAGTCCATGATGTTAATTTGCTGGGAAAGAGTCCCATTGGATTAGACTTTTAATTGGTATGAAATGCAGCCCAGAAAACAGGGTCTTGGGGAAATTTCCATTCTGCAGGCTGGCAGTAATTAACCAACCTCCTCTAGAGTTACTGCCCCCTGGAGTATCGGAGTTGTTAAATTACCAGGCAGGAGGGAAATTCTATTATCCAGAAGCCCAGCCCCCAGCTCTCTCTACTCCCCTCCTGCCCTCTGTGAGGGAAGATGTAAATGAGCCATCTCTGAGTGCATTCCACAAAACTGAATAATGGCAAAGAGCACAAGGTATCTCCTGGTCCGATCGTGGAACCACTGTGGGGCAATTAGATCATGCTACCAGACAGAAGAACTGGTAAGGTGGAAGCAGCTTCACAATCCCGAGGAGTCTCAGAATTGAGAAGGGTAGGTGTGGAACCGGCTCCTGGTCAGGGTTTACCTGTCCTGGAACATGTAACCTTGACGCCCCCCACCCCCAGAGGACCATGACAACTGGTCATGTAGCATAAAAACCTAGAGTTCCCCCATGCTAATGAAGTACTGTCCCAGTGTTTATCCAATGCACTTCTCCTGGGAATTCCATCCTTACAAAGTCTTTAATCCCTGGTTCACCCTGAGTATGCATTTACACCTGCCACAAATAAAACAGCTTGGACAAGCAAGGATCAGCCCCTTCATCAAGGATTGCTGTGATCAGGGCTGGTAGTCTTAAAGAGCCTAGCCTAAATCTCCCAAAGAAGGCCTCTCTTTACTCTCAGCCCCTCTGTACTCTCAGCACTCTGAACCAGACCAGATTCCACCCCACATGTGGCCCAGCCACCCACTTCCTGCCTGGCATGTAGAGGAAGCCAGACTCTGGGACCACTGTTCTCAACTCCTTGAGGTCCCCAGAGGCATTTGGGTACGCAGGAGACTGAAAACCATGGCATCTATCCCAGTCCCCACTGTTTCTCACCCAGAGAAACACGGTCTGGGATCCCCCCATCTTAGACTGCATTCTGCCTTCCCTAAGGGGTATCCCAGCGATGAAGCAGACAGGTGTCCCGACAGACCATCTCCAACTATTTTTAAGGACAATATTACAGGAGATATTGTGGTGAATGTCACAAGATAACCAAGCCTGGTCGTTTTAGCAGTGACTGTTAGAAGGTGACAAGTCTGAAGACTTTGAGGTTCAAGGTCAAGATACTGATGACGATGTTTTGGGGAGGATGCAGAACCTTTAGGAGGTATAGCCTTGCTGGAGGAAGTAAGCTAACTAGAAGTAGGCTTGGAGGTTATAGTTTGACCTCACTTCCTGGTCTCTCTGCTTCCTGAGTGTGCTTGGAAATGTGACAAGTTATGTTCCTGCTTTGTCACCCTACCATGCTTCCCATGATGGTCTCTCTCCCTCTGGAACCTCAGCCAAAATAACCTTTTTTTTTCTTCTCTCCCTAAGTTTCTTTGGGTCATAATATTTTGTCACAGCAACAGAAAAGTACTGATGGAACACATTTATATAGGGAGTAGACAGGAGATAGTTAACCAGGTATGTGCCTTTGTCAGAGCTCATTGGGCACACACTTAAGTTCTGGACATTTCCTTCTGTATACTTTCCCCTAATAAAGAGAATTGGTCTTGAAGGAGAAATGTGTGTATACTATTTAACTCGATCCCACTGTGAAA